CCAAGAGGCACATGAAAACATGCTCAAAGTCACTAATTATCCGAGAAATGCAAATCAAAACAACAATGTGGTACCATCTCACACCTGTCAGAATGGCCAACATCAACAAATCAACAAACAACAAGTGTTGGCGAGGTTGCAGAGAAAAAGGAACCCTCATGCATTGCTGGTGGGAATGTAGACTGGTGCAACCACTGTGGAGAACAGTATGGAGCTTCCTCAAAAAACTGAAAATGGAACTCCCATTTGACCTAGTAATCCCACTCCTAGGAATATATCCCAAGAAGCTAGAAACATCAATCAGAAAGGATATATGCACCCCTATGTTCATAGTAGCACAATTTACATTAGCTAGGATTTAGAAACAGCCTAGGTGCCCGTCAGCAGATGATTGGATCCAAAAACTATGGTACATTTACACAATGGAATATTACGCAGCCATAAAAAAGAAAAATTTCTCATCGTTTGCAGCAACCTGGATGGAATTGGAGAACATCATGCTGAGTGAAACAAGCCAGTCAATGAAAGAGAGACACCACATGACCTCACTTATTTATGGATGATAAAGAACATTATAAACTGAAGAACCAAAAGATAGATACAGAGACAGTAAAGCAACAAGCAGACTGTCAAATTACAGCGGGGAGGTTGGGGAGATCTGGGGGAGATAAGAGATCAACCGAAGGACTTGTATACATGCATATAAGTACAACCAATGGACACAAAACTCTGGTGAGGGAGAGTATGTACGGGAGACGGGGATTGGTATATGTACAAAAATAATAATTTAAAAATATATATATTATTTAAAAAAAGAGAGGAAAGGAGAAAGAGAGATAGATTGAAACAACAATGATGAGAGAGAAAATCATTAATCAGTCACCTTCTGCATGCCCCACACTGGGGATCGAGCCCATAACCTGGGCATGTACAGCTGACTGGGAACCAAAACATGACCTCCTGGTTCAAAGGTCAACACTCAACCACTAAGACATGCTGGTCAGACCAAAAATTGTATTCCTATATACATTTATTTCTCCTAAGGATGTTTTATAAATTTTGTATTAAAAGCCTGCATTATTAATTATATTTATTATTAGGTATTTAACATTTCATGATTTTTAAAAAATTCTCACTTGTACTATTTATAGTTGATATAAAAACAATTTTGCATGTGGTGACATTGAATCTAGCAACTTTGCTAAATTTATTAATTTAGACAATTAAAATATTTTCTAACAGAAAAATGCTAAGATATTATTATAAACAATTAAAGGAATTTAAATAATAGGATAGCTATACCATCAATGGATAGGGAGACTCAATGTTGTAAATATGTAAACTACAGATTCAAAATAAAAATTCTGTGTGTGTGTGTGTGTATGTGTTTGTGTACATGTGCGCGCGTGAGCACAAATTGACAAGCTACTTCTAAAATTTCTATAGAAACAGGAGGGCAAAGAGTAACTACATCACTCAACAATAAAGAGAGAGCTTATTCTATAAGCCTTATAATATTCAACAGCAGGGTATTGCCCCAAGGATTGAACAAAACAGTTCAAAAGCAGACCTTGAGGCAATTTGGGACAATATCCCACCTTTGCCAGTGGCTCATTGTGTTTGTCTAGTACAGAACTAACTCTCTAAGGAAGGTGCTTAAGATTGGTTTGTATTGTCACCCCACACCGCCAGCTCAGTGTGTGCTTTTCGGTCAGGGCTAAAGAAGTTACAGTTTTTTAATTGTTCACAGTTCAATTAGGTGACTCATGTTCAATTTAGAAGACAGGCATTAGAGAGGGTCTCTTTGATAAAATATAATAAAATTCTACTCTAATGCTCTATGTGGGGTTCAATAAATTTAGTCGCTTAAACGATGCTCTTACGTTATTGAAAGATTAACTGAAAATGGGAGCAGCCTGTTGCTGCGGAAGACTCACTAATGGCGGGTATACAGTGTGTGTGTGCTAGCTGTGTTAAAAAGCAGTTTCACTACTGGGGATGAGGATAAAGAAAACATTTTAGTTGGCCTCATTATATGCCCATAAATATCAGCAATGTCTCAGTAACAGAGACAAAGAAAGGAAGGGTATTGAATAGACCATTAGTTATTTCTACCTCAGGAGGGATTGTGAGAGATCACATAGGATGGTAGTAGCTACGGGGAAGCAGGAAAATGGACAGATTTGAGAAGCATTTGTCAAAATGTAATATATATTATATATATATATATATATATATATATATATATATATATATATATAAATGAGTGCAATTGTACAATCTTAAACATAATGGAGATCATTTCTACATTTTCCTTAATTAGAAGAAACATTTCTATCTACATGGAGTTATCCATTTGACCACAATTTCTTTTTATTTTGTTCTTACTGTGTTCTCAAGTAATTTAATAAAATGTAATAGATATTTTTTAATATTGTGGTTTGTTCTGGGAAGCATGAAAGTAAAATATGAGCTTACTCTTAAATCTGATTTTAATATCCTTCTCTTGCAATCACCTTCAGTACCAAAGATTAAAATTAAGTCTTCAATAAAGTATCATAAGCAAGTATCTTCTAGGTAAAATTTCTCATGTGGAGTTGATGAGACTTGAGTTGCAAAGATTACACAGTCATCAGTTCGGAGCCTGGTCAAAAATGACCCCTGACCCCAAAGCAGTTTCCTCTCCATGACCACAGGCCCCTCCTGCCCCGGGGCAAAAGGCTATGTTGTTATTCAGACGTGATTCTCTAAAGCAGGGTTTCATAAGCACAACAATGGGCATTTTGGACCATATAATTCTTTGTTATGGGGGCACATTCCCGTGCATTGTATGATGTTTAGCAGCATCCTGGTCTCTACCCACTAAAGGCCAGTAACATTTCCCCTCCACACCAGTTGTGACAATCAAAGTGTCTTCAGACATTACCAAATATCCTGAGAGGCAAATGGCTCCCAGTTAGGAACTGAACCAGCTGTATAACCTATCTTTCTATCTCTCTCCCTTCCTCTCTGAAATCAATAAAAAATATATATTAAAAAATAGTACTAATCTAACAGTGTCATTTTGGATTGCATGAGTAACCCCCATACAGAATACCTAGAATAGTTTAAGCATATGATAAGCTCTCAATAAATCTAGCCCTAAAGTATTATTTTTAGCTACAAACTGGGTACAATTGAGTACCCATTATGTGCCAAGCACTCCAATAGATACTGGGGACATAATGGCAAATAAGAAATAACCAATGCCTTTAAAGACTTACAGTATACTAACAGAGGCAACACAGAAACAGGTAATTATAATAAAATATGGAAAACTTATTGGCAGACATGTCATGGGAAAGCCAAACAATGATTCTCAGCCAAGGCTTAGGAGACAGGAGTCAAGGTTGGAGTCCCAGTTTTGCCAGTTACTAATGGTTTGGCTCTGGGCTTAGAGCTCTAATTCTCCATTTTCTCACCAGCAAAATGATGATAATAGATAGTATTTGCCTCATAAGAATATGGTGAGAAGAAATGAGGTAATAAAAGTACAATGCCTGGGACATGGCCTCTGCTCAGAGAAGGATCGTTACCTTTACCATCAATCGGGGAGCACAGAATCAGGGTGTGTAACCCAGCCAGCGCTCCCTCAAGTTTGCCCCTCCTTGCTGGTCACTCTCATCTACTTGACAATGACTGCCTTTCTTCCTCTTTCTTTTCCTCAGAAGAGGAGCGCAGATACAGACTTAAAGATGTGCAAGAATGTTTATAGCAGCTTTATTCATAATAATGCCAAATTGGAAGCAAATTCAACAATGCCCGTCAACGGGAGGATAAGAACATTGTGATATATAGTCCTGTACAATGAAATACTACATAACAATGAAAATTAACTACAGTTGCATGCAACAATATGGATGAGCATCACAAACAAAATGTTGATGAGAAAGAAGTCAGAGTGCGTATTTTACTATTCCATTTATAGAATGTTTAAGAATAGGCAAAGTGAGTCTGTAGCCACAGAATAAATACAGAAGAGTGGTTATCTTTGGGGAGGTATTCGCTGAGAAGGGTGGTGACATACTAGTAACTGTTTAACAACCAGATCTTGGGGGGGAGGGGGAGAAAAGTCCCCAACTGGATGCCATTTGCCAGTTTCCATGGTGTAAATACTCCCACCACTGCGGATTTAAAGCACCGTGTGATGCCTCTGAGCACAGAGTGGGGAAGAGACCCTGTGGATGGTCTGCTCTGGCATGGCACTGGCAGGTGGCATGCAGGGGCACTCTGGTGTGTTGGAAGTGTCCTATACCCTGATCTCATCATGCTTACACAAGTGCATACTTAAGATTGCTTACCTTTTTGTGTGACTGCTATACCTCGAGAAAAGGTAAGATGTAAAAATGTCTGTGAGAACTGGAAAGATAGAAGCTGTTGTAACTATGTTCCAGAGAAAGTCCAGAGAGGAATCAGAGTCAGTGGTTAGAAAGACGGTAAGCACGTCTTCTTGCCCCCACAATAGAGAGAAAAGAGAGACGCCATCCGTAGCCATCAGCATCAATAGCAAAGAGCCAGACCACTCTCTCAGTCTTCCAGCTTGTGACTTAATTTAATCTTATCACTAATGGCTGAGGCACCACACAAAACAGTGTTGCTTCTGAAGAGCTTGGATGCGTTGCCTTGACTACCTGTCACTCAGGGCTGGCTATTCCCCTGGCTGGCTCCAGGTGTATGCTTTCAGCACAGTGCCATCTGAACACAATGATCGGACACAAAAAAGCACCGGTGTAAAGAATGTCACTTTTATTTTGAGTAAAAATGCACATTCATATTATTTTTCTAGCATCACTAAAATCCTAACTATATTCAATATGTCTAGAAGATAACTAGAGTCTAGCTAAATAAGAACTTTTAATAAGACAGCTGCTCCCAACATAGACAGCACTCATATAAGTTTAAAGTTACAAAGGCAAAGCAACCATTTGAAGGAACTTGACTGATGATAGCTCGACATATCCTCAGATACACTTGTTCCCAATCTGGCAGAACAGGACCATAGAAAATATCAGACCAAATACCTAGAAAGTATAACAATAGAGTTAACATGCAGTTCAAAGGGAAATGCCAGGTACATTATAAATAGACAGAAAGAGCATTATATATGAAAAGATATATGAAAAGAACTAAAAGATTCTGGCAGTTTTAGTTTTAGTTTTTTTAACCTATGTGGGAAATTCTCTCTTTGTGGGAAATTAGAGACTTCCCTGAGATGAGAGAGCAAGGAGAAAGCTCTCTGAGTGGCTTGTTTAATCAGGGTTTTCAGCTGCCAGTCCATCTCTAATGCCCCATCTGGTTGTTCAGTAGCTGCTGTCCCCAGAGCACTCCAACCTTGGGGGACACACCCCATCTGTGGGGCACCTGCTCCAGAGCTCAGGGGAGCTCGGGCCTCAGGACCCTCCACATACATAGTGTTTCCATGGAAGAACTATGATCATCTGGTTTAGATCATCTGCATACAAATCAAGGAGTCTAGAATTTCTCTTGCCATAGTGAGGGCATTGCCAAGAGGAGTGGGGGGAAAAAGAAACGTTTTTTTTAAAAAATACAACATCCTCTAAATCTATAGAGAATAGCTTAATTCAGAAATTTCCTCTGAAGTAAAGAAACACAGCTGAAATCTGGGGCATGGTTTCCCACTCATTAAATGGCTCTCCCAAGAATGAGGCATCACAAAACTTGCCCTAACTGTCCTTGTAGATGGTGACTCGTATGCCCTGCTGTGATGTAGAAATGATAGGAGGACCTGTGTGTGTGACCAATCAAAGTTTCCCCCCACCAGCCTGCTTAGAAGGGAGGCAGGAGGAGGACAAGCTGCTACTTATGCTGAGTCCTTTGTCACAAGTGCTCCTGCTGTATTAAGATGTCCTGCTTAATAATTTGTTCCTGAAAATGCATTTCAAATGAGAATCACTGCCCAATATTTGTCATCTAAAAAATAAAAATGATTTTCATTAAGAGTGTTCTCAAAGTCATTCTTTTAGAATGACTTCAAAAAGCCTTGAAATTTTGCTTTGACCCCAAGTCTCAAGTCTGGGAGACAGGTATCAGGAGAGAATAAAGAGAATGGGAAAAATACTGAGATAAGGCAACTATCATCTTTCACTGTCACACCCTTGAAATAGAAGCCCGATATTTATCAGCAGACTAGACAGTTAATAACCCACTTTCTTGCACTTCACTGCCTCTGAAAAAATTTTTTAATCATTTTTCATAAAAATAGCAAGTAATTAAAAAGAGATCCATCATATGGTAAACTATGTGAAGACTCAGGAAAAACTTGCTGTAAGTAATGTGCATGAGTTCCCAGATTCTGGGAAAGTGTTAAAAATGTAAAATTATCATTTTTCTCTCTTTTAAGTACGCTATTCTTGGGGCCTTCTGTCAGGATAACGTTTATCCTACAAAGTGATGACTACCAGTGTCAGTGCCCTTTTTTCTTAGTTGAAATAAGAAGAGAAAGTGCTGATCATTTTTGTGCTTGTAAGTTCTATAGTTAAATAAGGAGAGGTATGTTATGATAGTCTGATTATTTAACTTGGAATAATGAGAATTCCAAGAATGTTTATAGCATTTTCTTGCGAAATAAAGCATTTTGCATAGATTCATAGCATCCTCTCTAAGAAGAATCGCCCAGGTATGTGGTCTTAAGAGCCTTGAAAATGACTACTGGCCCACTCCATCAGAGTCTCTGCATAAACAGACTAATGCCAACAGTCTAAATGTCAAAGGGTCGTGTTTTCATATGGATTTTAATGGAGATAGTCTGAATATATTTTTTGCATAGAGATGTTTGCCCCTGTTTCCTTCTCAAAAATATTTATCAGAGAGGTAGTTTTTCCTCTCTATGAGTCTTTGTGTTTACTTGAATGTGAACTTGGGAAACAAGGCCGAGGTAGTAAGCCTTAGAAATGGGTCTGTTAGTCAGCTAGGAATAATGAGTATAAGACAGATTAATGTATATTTTTGGATACATTTTTATAGGCTGAATATCATAAGACTATTTTCAAGGCTATAGTTCTTTAAACCAATTATCATATCTACATATAGTCTAGAAATCACACTAACTGGCATAACTAAAAATTTATATTTTGTTATATTAACATATATATAAATTTCATACCCATAAAGAGGTATTTCACTAGTCATATATTTAGAACACTCAATAAAATATCTAAATATGTAACAAACACATGGATATACTAATTTCACAGACTATGTTACTCCTCTTGTAATCTTACTTTCCATTAGATGTATTTAGATTCTTGGCAATGCCTTTGACTATGATATATGAGATATCAAACTCCCCAGTTGATTATGTTCTTATTTTCTCTGGCTTTCCTTTTGAAAGACTTCGTAAAAGTATCTGTGGGTTGTAGCCAGTCATAGTCAATTTGAGTCTAATATGGAATTTGACACTTATATTGATACTTACTTGCATTGAATACTTCATTTAAAGCCTGCTCTTTCAATCATTCATTTCAAGTCTACTCTTGCAACACGTGTGTGTGTGACTTCTGAAAATATGTGAGTACGTGTGTGTGATTTCTCTCTCACCTCTATCGCCACTGGCTCATATTTCTAAACCAGAATACAAAGCATTAACCCAGAATACAAAGCAGAGAAATAAAGGATGTTTCAAAAACGGAAGAATCTAGAGAAATAGACTTTTTTTTAAAATCATATATCAGATGTAGAGAAGGATATCCATGTTTCCAGCAGAGAATGCTTTATACTAGTATTTAGACCCATTCTGGGCTACCAGAAAGTAACACTCAACACCCCAATTTACTGCTAATTGTCCCATCCCCTTTTCTAATGATTGACTGGGGATTCCACTAGTAACCTTTAAAAAAAAAAAAAAATATATATATATATATATATATATATATATATATATATATATAATTGATTTTTTACAGAGAGGAAAGGAGAGAGATAGAGAGCCAGAAATGTCGATGAGAGAGAAACATCGACCAGCCGCCTCCTGCACAACCCCCACCGGGGATGTGCCTGCAACCAACGTACTGACCAGAATCGAACCCGGGACCCTTCAGTCCGCAGATCGACGCTCTACCACTGAGCCAAACCGGTTTCGGCCCACTAGTAACTTTAATGACTACTTGGGACACTAAGTGGCTTCAATCCCAGCTAAAATTCCTTTCTGGCAGTGATGTGGCATAAGTAAGATGCAAAAAGCTACCAGAAATCCCAAGGAAGACATTGTACAGCATTCCATACAAGTGAAGCAGTAGCCACTCAACTGAGCTCACCAACCCTCAGAGGCATTAACCAGAGACACCCCACACCGCATCAGGACACCTGCCAATGCCCTGCACAGGATGCGAGGGAATTTGACGCACCTAATACAAAAATTCACCAAGAGCCAGGATGATTCCAAAAACACTTTCCCGAGATCGTTTTATTTCAACTATTTGGCAAACATTTTTAGGCCATGTAAAAGGTATCACTCATTCTTTTTAAAAATTCCAAGTAAGGCCATCAAGATAAAAACTCGAATTGTTTTCAGCATCAATAATCAAAATGATGAGAGTAAATTTGAGAAATTTTATTCAGTGAGAAAATTAAAGGCAACTGCTTCAAATTTTTAAAACTAATTAGATTTCTGTGGAATGGAATAGCAGGAAAACAGCTCCTCACACTCTTGAGTTAAGTTTTTTATTTTCTCTTTCAAAATCAGGAGAGATAAGAAAATGTAAAGACTGTGTTTTGGGTTTGTCTGGGCCCTTTCTCCTAACTTTAACTCTTGCATTAGATTTCAATGGGGAAAAGATATCTGCGACTAAGAACTATGAGCAAGCTAATTCAAAATTTATTTCCTAGTAGAGAACTCATCCAGAAATAATAGGCTTAGCCATGCTCAATTCATACAGTTGTAATCCCCTCCCCAGACTCAAGGTTAAAGTTGGCCCGTGGCACTTGGGACCCAGTGCTTGTCTGAAGCACTTGGTTTTTACTTGGCTCGCCATAAATGTGCTAGCAGGATTAATGGACAAGCAAGGGAAAAAAATAGAGTTATCAATGAAAGATTATACTGTACCTCAAAGGCTGCCGCTCCAAATGCTATTCCAATAGTTATCATGATTTGTTTTCTAACAAGTACTTTTAAATGAACAATACATGCCTGTTTAAAAAAAAATATATATATATATATAAGGTTACTTTTAATCACATTTTGATGACCTTATCTGAATTAAGATTTTTTTCAATTGGGTTGATTTTTTGTACTGTTACCAAGAAACACACTCAACAAAAAGGAATTGGATTATTTCCTCTGCTTCAAATTCCTCCCCCCTCTGAAAGGTTATAGCCAGCACGTGAGGAGCAAAATTTTGCTTCAGCTACTTCATCTAGGGATCTTTAGTTATAAATAATAATTAATAATTTTATCTTAACTGGCAATTTTATAGTTGTTATTACGTTGGCTGAGCATACTTTTTAGGTTTGTAATCTGCAGCAGAGTTCTCTAGTTGGGATTTCAGTTAATTATAGTGAAATTTTTCATTTTTAAAAGGAAACTTATAAAAATTCTGATTCTAATCTTATCAGTTTATTTTTACCTTAAAAATCATATGTCCTTTAGATTTAAAAAAAGAGAATTTGGAAGTTATTTCTCTACCATACTTTTTTAATTTATTCAAAGCAGCATGCAATTCCAAGCTTAAAAAATTTCAGACCAAACTAAAAATTCCAAAAGCTGAAAATTACATGAATAATTTTAAAAATGAAAAATATTGCATGATATAATAGTCCTACTATCTGTATTATTATACCAGAAAACATTTCATTCCCATAATAGTCTTATATGTGCAATGGGCTAGCAAAATATTTCTATTTGTTAAATAAAATAAAAGTTTTCCATAGGTATTTTTTTTCCTCCTTTGTTCTACCTGGGTTTCTCCATTCTCATTTGATCAAGAGTGGTCAACATTAGAAGAAATGATTACATTAGTTAGGGTTAACTATGCAATTAATGATCTACTGAGTCATATTTGTTATGCTTGAGGAGTTTTCTTTCCCCTCCCCTTTAGATAACCAGGGTATCTTGGAAAAAGGAAAGAGGGGTGGGATGTAGGGGGAAGAAATAAATTATGACCATTCAGATTTCTTATTTTTCCAGACTTCTTGCAAATGACACAAGGCAGAAGTATTTTGTAAATTTATGATCATCCTTTTGGGAAACTTGGTGCAACTATCACCCTGTATTCAGCTGAATTATGTGTGAATTTGGAGGGAATGTCTTTTATTTTTTAGGATAATGCTAGGACTTTCCAAATGTATCCTAAGGAAAAACATCTTTGCATTGAATCTTTAACAGAACACAACAATCTGCAATTTGCTATTGAATTTACCATTTTCCTCATTATCCCAAGCAGAAACTACATTTGCTTATACCATATTTATTTCCCTCTTCCTTATAGATTCCATGTCACTAACATTAAGTAGGGACGAAAGGAGTTGGGTGAAATGTAAAAAATAAGAATAAAATATTTTTACTGGCATTACTTGGACAATGAAAGATAGGGTAACTTTGTAGTGAAGTAGATAACTTCTTTCACACCTGTTACTTTAAATACCAGTAACAGAAATTTCCCTTCAGAAAGTCTCCTTCATTGTGATAAGATTAGTAAAAGGGATGTGATAATCAGCAGGAGAGATGTTTCTCCTGAGACTCTTTCTATGTCCTGATATATAATTCATCTCAATAGCCATTACTAAGCTAACACTAAATTGAAAATAATCTTGAGGCATTATAGAAATTAATTTATTGAATCACATGGCTGTTATAGATCTCGCTTCCATCTAATCTTCTCGAGGAGCCAGAAATCTGTCTGATTCTAACAAGGGTCCATCTGACACATAGCAAGCACCCAAGAATAATAGCAAATAAAGGAAACATTAATGTCATTAATATCAATTGTCATTTCTGTGCACAATCCTTTCAGGCATAAAGAAAAAAATATATAAAACCCTGTGGCAACAGGCAGATATCAGATCTCCAGGAAGCCATAGCTTGTACCTCCAACACTAATTAGATGGGGTCCATAACTCTTGTGCTTGGCCCTATCCAAGAAATACAATAGTTCATTAAATGGAAGTTGCCAAGTGATCTTTCTCTCCTCCCTATTTGAGCATCAGCTCCATGAGGGCCAACACTGTGCCCTGAACAGAAATTGGTCTCCAATGGCTGGTAGGAGGTTGTCAATAAGTATGGGATGAATTAAGCAGTAAGAAATATGACATGCATATATTGACATCCACAAGTGACATAATAAACAGCCCATTTACAGCACACAAAAACTAAACCCAGTTTTCCAATTGACTTTAAATATCTGAGGCAACTTTTAAATTCAAGCACTAATTAGATGAAGTAGTAAATAAACATAAATCCAGAGCTGAAACCCCTAAAGGCCAATACAATTACTTGAGAAAGGAATCTTTGATTAGAAAACAGAAGCTTCACCTTTAAAATGAAAGTAAAAATAGAGATTTCTAGAATTTATGTTAAAATAGAAAAAAAATGAAGGAGAATAATAATTAAAGTCTCCCAAGAGATGGCAACAGAAATGTGGGTCTGTTAGTTTACATTTTGCTTCCTCTTGCAAAAGAATGTTATTTTGATCTATTAGAGTTGAGTTTAAATGATTGCCAGACTCATAGAAGAAGTGAAATACTTTCATCTTTTTATATTGGCTTTTTTCTTTAAATAATAATTTCTTTTTTCATTTGAGAAATTCCTGGGACATTTATGTCATGATTCCCATTATAATTGGTACAATTTAAATTTTTGTGAAGTCTTTCATTTTGAAAAAAAAAAAAAAAAAAGAACAGAACCACTTACTGTGACAAGTTTGATTTGTTCTTACCTGTTTGTAAACTAGTTTTCCTTCATATGTTTCACATGAGGAATTTGTCTTATCTAAACATTCACACGACTCAGAATTTTGTTGAAAATTAGCTCCCCAGTCAGAAGCTCCATCGATCAAACCACAGCATTTGTACTGTTTGATAAAAACAGAGATATGAAAAGCAGGCACTAAGGAAGATAAAAACATTGTCAGTATACCGAATCACATTCTCCTGAAACCATTAAGATGTTTCTTATAATAAAATATCATGTATTATTACCCACCTCTCTGAATATAAAAGTAAAAATAAAGGGCTATTCTTTTTGTTCTTAATATGAAAAAGGAAAAATAGGTTGCAGGAGTGTCTGAGGAACCAAATTGAGATGATGAAAAATGTACCTTCTAGATTCTAATGACGAAAGAGGAGCAGAATCCATTCTACTTAGCCTAGATTTTAAAAAAGAAGCTTCCAAAGAGTTCATGAGAGAGTCAAGATCTCTTTAAGGAATTTTTGCTCAGAAGAGATGAGAGGTTTAAAAATTAAGCTTCCATCTCATGATCTTTGACCTCTTATGGAGGCTAGGAAGAAAAGGGTACAATTTCTCAAAAGCCAAAGGTGCTCGTGGGCCTCCCGTGAGATAAACTGTTGCATGGACATCTGCACGAGAGGGAAAGGGTCCCAGTGAAAGATTGAACTCTTAGAACAATGTCAGAAAGGCAAGGCCCAGAACAAACCCAAACATGGAGAAACACTAGGGGAACTAGTGGCCATACTTGGGGAAGAAAAACAAGGAATAAGCCCAATAACACACAAGTATAGGTACATGTTATTAGATGAGGGAGAGAAGTAATTATCCCTCATCTTGTCCTAGTTGCTGTGTTAGAATGAGAGAAAACTCTTCATGCAGAAATATAGGAGAAAATGGAGCCGACGCTGGGTCCAGATGTATTGTGATGCATTGTGATGCCAGAAAACAAAGAATGTTCACGTACTGGCTGGGTGATCACATTACCCATGTTACTCAAACTTCTCTGTGCCCCAGTTTCTTCATCTGTAAAATACAGATAATAATAATTGCAATAATAGCATCAATTTGTAGATTTGTTGTAAAGATAAAAATGAGAAAACCAAGGTGAAGATATGAAACGCTTTACCCAGTGACTGGCTTAGAGAGAGCACTCACTGTGTGTCAGCTGTTGTTGTTGTTTTGTTTTGCAGTTGTTGTTATTTTCGTTATGCTTACACTGCACATATCTATTCAACACTGATATCAGTGATTTAGAGAAAGATGTAGAAAGTATCTTCTCAACTCTGTAGCTGATCTAGAGCCTGGGAGTGATGATTAATACAGTGGAGAGAAGCAAAGATAGTGCCAACAATGGATTCAAACTAGCAAGTTTAATTGGGGGAGATAAAAAGTCTGCACTTCAGCTCAAAGATTCAGTTGCACAAATAAAGAGGGGACAAAAGTATGCAAAATGCATAACGATTCTCAGGGAAAAGAGGAGTGGTGGATACGGGAAGAGACTGAACATAAACTGTGCACCTATGGATGAGGACAATGGGGGGTGGGGAAAGGGCAGAGGGTGGGGTGGGAACCTGGTGGAGGGGGGGGAAAAATGAAGAACTTATGTAACAATATGAACAATAAAGATTTGTTTTTTAAAAAAAGAAAAAGAAAAAAAGAAAATGATTCTTAAGGCAGAATTTTTACAAGCTGGAGTCTATCCAAATCGGGACTGAGTAATGCTCTGGAAAAATAACAACAACAACAACAACAAAAAAGTCATCTTATAAATAGCTCAAGAAAGAATGTTTGAACTTGAAAGGCCAAGCTTTTAGAAGTCACATGATAGCCATTTTCAAAGAAAATTTGAAGCCCATCAGTAGATTTTTTTTTTCCCCTCTGAAACTCCAGAAGAAAGAATGGCACTAAATGATGCAAATCCTAGGGAAGCAGATGTTGTGTCCAATTAAGAAAGGGCACACTAATGATCAGATGTGGCTGTAAGTGGGATGGGCAAAAATTGGTAAAGTTTCCGCTCTTCCATATCTAATTAGAGAGTGTATGAATATAGAAGTAAAACACTTCAGTTCAATGAGAAGTCAGGTGAAGTGTTCTATAAAATCCAGCTCTCCCCTAAGATTCCGAGAGTTCCCATGACATACGTGAAATGTTGTATGTAGCTAAGATGACGGGGATAAAGAAGGTGTGGTTGGAAGGAGTTTCGCAGAGTAAGTAATATTTTAGTCAAGCTATACCTCACATGTATATTTGGAAAGAAAGAGAAAAGTAGTGAGTGCGTTCCCAAGATGAAGAACAATGCAAAAGAAGAGAAACAGAACCACTTCACGCATCCTGTGTAGACAGACCTGGCTAGACTAGAGTGCTGTTGTTACGGAGCCGTGTTTCAGAAAATTAAACTATTAGGCAGGTGCCAAGTAGGAGAGTACCTTCAAAGCAGACTAAACAAATAATCTAATTAACAAATGAAGGAGTGGGGGTGTTAATGCACTGGCTCAAAAAAATAAACTAGTCAAATCTGAGTTCAAATTCCAACCCTCTCACTGTTAGCTGTCAGACTTCTCTAAGTCCTAGTCCCCTCATCTGTAAAATAAGGACAAGGAAGATAATTATATTACCCACCTCAAAGAGTTATGAAGATTGGCTGAGCTACTAAATGTAAAGCCTTGTACCTAGTAAGTAGTAATAAGTGATCATTATAATTATTTTTATGAGAGAGGGAGTGGTCATAAAGAAAGGGAGAAAGAGAGAGACCCTCCAAATGTCTAAGCACAATATAAATATTAAAACAATGATTGATGTGTCCCTGAAGTTTGATCTATCATAAACATATCTTCTTAATCTCTGTCCATGTGAACTGCTTTAGAACTTTGTAAGATGCTAGGGAAAAAAAAAATAGAAATATTCTTGGATTTTTCTTATTGCATGGTGACAGAAAATCTGCAAAATGAATTTTTAACCTTTAAGGAACCCACTTGTTAAAAATTAAGTAAACACAAAAGAACTAAGTCTAACTCCCCAAATGACCTATGAATTCTGATTACCTGTTTCTGAAATATAATCAGGGATTTCTGGAATAACTTTGCTTTTTCATCTGTTTTAGCCAAAAGGTGTACATTTTTATGGAGAGTCTCATTCAGGAAATGCTCATACTGAAAATTAAAGAACATTGTTAAAATTATTTATGCCAAAGATAGTATTTTTATTTTTCACTTTTCCAAAATTATCAAGTATGATATGGGCACACACCTGCTCTTTGTGGGTAACTCCTATAATACCTGTCATTATCTGTAGGATCAGGATCAAAAGCAAGCCTATGAAAAACTGAAAAAGAGAAAAAGGAACATATGTTATCCCCCAGTGCATTCAGTAACATCTTTGGACATCTCAACATAGTGCTTCATTCTGCAGTCTGGGTCATGTTATAGTTTGAAGTAGTAACCATGTCCTTTGTTTTTTTAAGTATATTTTTATTGATTTTTACAGAGAGGAAGGGAGAGAGATAGAGAGTTAGAAACAGGGATGAGAGAGAGTCATCGATCAGCTGCCTCCTGCACGCCCCCTACTGGGGATGTGCCCGTAACCAAGGCACATGCCCTTGACTGGAATCAAACCCGGGACCTTTCAGTCCGCAGGCCGATGCTCTATCAACTGAGCCAAACCGGTTTTTGCAAGTAACCATGTCCTTTATTGATTCTAACCTTTGCCTCAAGAAGCAATTTTTGGGACCATTACTACTCAGAAATATTTGCTCCAAAGACTGACTATAGAAAGTAGTAAAAAAGAAAAATTATTCATAGAATTATAGGCATCAGTATGCTGTTGAATGGGGAAAAGTTTCAAAACTTAGATGAAATTATTTGAATACAGTGGCCTGGTGCACAAAATTCATGCATGGGGGTGGGTGGAGGGGAAAGTTCCCTCAGCCCAGCCTGCACCCTCTCAAATCAGACATCCCTCTCACAATCTGTGACTGCTGGCTCCTAACCGTTCACCTGCCTGCCTGCCTGATCGCCCCTAACTGCCTCTGCCTCAGCTCCCAACACCATGGCTTTGTCTGGAAGTTGGATATCTGGAAGATGGCTGGTCAACTTGGTATAATTAGCATATTACTCTTTTATTAGTATAGACAGATATATAGGATAGGATTGCTTAAATGGGGAGTGGGGGCTTTTTTCAGCAGGAGGGGATGCTCTTGGCAGACAAAAATACATAATTACTATATCTGGACTGATAGCCAGCCATATACACTATACTGCCAAATCGGTCATCTAAAAGTTGAACAGCTTTCTTAGACCTTACACCAAACAGCTGTTTCCCCTAAAACTCCTCCTCAGCCCCCACCTTAGGTTCTGCCTTCACAATTCACCCAGATTAGGTTCTTTCTAATATATATATATTAGATATATAAAATATATATATATTATATATATATATTATATATATATATAATATATATATATATATATATATATATATATATATATATATATATATATAATTGATTTTTTTTACAGAGAGGGAGAGATAGTTAGAATCATCGATGAGAGGGAAACATGGATCAGCTGCCTCCTGCACACCCCCTATTGGGGATGTGCCCGAAACCAAGGACTATGCCCTTGACTGGAATTGAACCTGGGACCTTTCAGTCCACAGGCCAACACTCTATCCACCAGTTTCGGCCAGGTTAGGTTCTGATTGGTTGGTTTCTATGCATCATCAAATGCTCCACCTCCTAGGCAGCCATTGGTTCCTTACAGTTCACCCAGATTTGATTCTGATTGGTTAGTTTCTATGCCAATCAGCATCTCTGGGCCTGATCAGTGAGGTGGGGCTGGTCAGTAGCCACCCCAGGTTGCTGGCAAGTGGGCTGAACTGCTGACCTCTTGGAGAGATAGGTGCGGCTGGTGGCGAGGCCAGGAGAGAGGGGGGGAGGGGGGGGCGGCAAGGGCTGTTCAGCAGCTGCCACAGAGGCTGCAGGTCAGACTCTGCTTCTTTCTCTGGGCCTCACCCGCAGCCACAGCAGCTGCTGATCAGCCTAGCTTCTCTCTCTCTTTGAGAAGTCAGCAGTTCTGCCTTCTGCCAGTCCCTGCCCACCAAAGCCTGCTGCACATGCAGCCTGGAGTTCAGTCTTCCCTTCAGTCATTTTGGATGTTATGGACCCTGCCTCTTTATATATATATAAACTTTCTCTTTCTTTCTCAAACAAAAACTTCAAAACAATGTTTCTACTGCTATAGAATCACCAAGTCTTGTTATATGTGTAAATTTCCAAACTGGCCTCAGATCTATTAATATTGAATCATAATTTTGGAGAACATAGCCGAAGCCCAGAAATTGATTTTTAAACCAAGCTCTTCAAGTAATTGAATCTCCAATTGCAAACGATACCTTATTAATCTAAAGGCAACCACTATAGATGCTAGTAAAGTTCTGTTAAAACTCTGTCCTTATCTTCCCACAAAATAAACAAACACTTAAAAAATCTTTTTTTAGGGACTGACACAATACTTAGTTTATGGGAGAAACAAGTTTAGTTGAATTCTCATAATCATTTATGTCAGATTTATACCTAATAAATATGTGATGATTTTTCTAATATGTTTTCTATATCCATTTATTATTTTCTACTATATGTTTTAAAAATGGAGTTTGTGGGTTATCCCAACTAAATCCATCCTCCTCAAACTTTTCTAAGTGACAGATTGGATTATCTCACTCTCTTAAAATTTCCTTAACATGAAATATGATTTTGCCACAGTCCATACTCAGACCCATCTCCCATTGTTTACCAAAAGAGCCTCTACCACTATAGCCATACCCAAGGCCTAACAGTTTCCCAAATAGGCCAGCCATACTCAAGACCTTATAGTTCCTCCAAAAATCACGGTGTTTTTTTCTTGGAAAGCTTATCACAACCACATCCTTATTTACTTCTGCTTCTGGCTTGAAGTTCCCTCCTATACCTCCTATATCCTTGACCTCTTCTTCTTGAGCAACTTCCACAGTAGCTACTTATTTGTCCATCTTCTTTAATGGGTTCTAATTATCTTAATGTCTCTGCATCGTTTAACACAGTATGTGGCATGTAGCAAGTACTCAGCAATAATGAATAAATAAAGGCTAAAACTTATTCTCTCTCAGGGTATCCTCTCATCAAAGCTAAACATATTGGCTTTCAGAATCAAACCTGCCAAAGAGAAGTCAAGAGTGTCATCAACCTTGGCAAGTCCTTTAGGCACACCATGGGGCGGGTATGGGCTCTGGCTGGAGAACTCACCGTCAGAAGCATGCAGCGGCTCTCCCTCATGGCACCACAGCATCCCAGGAAACCCATAATTACGATGATGCTACCCACACCAATCAAGGTATTTCCAGAAGCATTAGAAAGCACACTGTCATCGCTGAAAAACTGAAAATAAAAAAAAGAGAAATCAGAAAAATTCCTTTCCTTGATGTGTTTTATTCCACAAAAACCCATTGGGTGCCTACTATGTGCCTTACAACCTTAAGATCCGTCAGTGATCTATAGCAGCAAAAATATCTGCCCTCAAAGAGCTTACATTCTATTAAGGTGTTACTTGTCTGGATAATATTTCCAACGTTATACTTTTCTAAGCGGATATATTGGGTATTCTGGATATTGTATGGAAGCAATGTAAAAGGCTTTGAAACACCAATTATTTTAAATTAAGAAGGAAATGTACTTTCACCTATCACATGATGTGCTCTTTGGTTTGCATATTTTGTGGTTTATACATAAAAGTAGCGTTGTAAAGCATGTGTTTCTATGGCAATTAAATGAATTATAAAGCCAAAGTTTCTCAAACTACTGAGAGACTCAAGAATATGAATGAATCTCAGAAATGAATGAATCTCTTATTGGGCTAATTAAGAGTGATTATTGTATGATTACATTTATATGACGATCAAAGATGGGTAATTCTAAGCTATAATGATAGAAATCAGAGCAGGAAATGACTTCTGGCTGTGTAGGAGAGAAAGGAAGAGCTGGCTGCAAAGGAATGAGGGTTTTTTTAATGGGTTAATAAAATATTGGATATATTGATTATAATAGTAATTTCACAGGTCTACACATTTGCCAAAACAAACAAAAAATTTAAACTAAGAAAAAAAAATCTAGTACCTGATATTTCATATCAATTCTATCTCCTTGTTCCCAGAAGATATATAGTTCATAGAGTCTTCCAGAAACTTTTCAATTTGTCTGACTATTAAGTAACAGAATATTAAGGGGTTGGGGGGAATCTTAGGTCCCTATGTGGTGAGTTGGGCTACTATATGTTTTAAAAATGGAGTTTGTGGGTTATCCCAACTGAATCCATCCTCCTCAAACTTTTCTATGTGACAGATTGGATTATCTCACTCTCTTAAAATTTCCTTAACATGAAATATGAATCAACTTGCATAATTTGATTCTTCTTCCCCACACATACTCCTCTTCATCACCTTCCTAACACTTAACCTCAATCTACCACTTATGTACATCGTAATTAAACAGTGAAACCTTGTGCCTGTGTTGAGTGCCATGTGTAGCACTTGTATAACCTGTATTTGCTGGTCTCTTTCTAGGTAGAGCATTAGTTCTTAGACCATCAAAGACTCTGCCTCCTAGAATCTGCTACACATCATGTGGATCAAAATAAATAAAAACCCACTACTATGAATGATCTTTGCATTTTAAATGACTTTTTTAACCAGTTCATAGTCTAGGGGGAACCTTTACTCGACAATCTGTAGGAAGGAATGTGCTGAAGCTGACAAAGCATTAGAACAAGATCTGTATTCCATTGGGTCCCAATATGTAACTAAATTTCTAACACTCGACTAGTCAACTAATAGCCCAGCCCAGTTTCTCATTTATAAAGAGAAGTGGGTCAGCCTCTGTGACACCCAAGGCCTCCTTTGTCTCTAAGAGTCTATGCTGACTGTTAATGTTTCAATTTACATATTTAGAAACCTTTCATTTACATATGTCCTAAAGATATTTTTGTTTATTGTGCATGTTTTGTGTTTGATTGTAGTCTGTTTTGTTTGTTTGTTTGTTTGTTTTGTTTTGTTTTTTGTTAAGTAGATTGAAGCTAAAAAGTCAATTTTGTTAATCAACAGGCATGGCATCTGGGTCAAAGTAGAAAATGACAAAACATCATTAGGAAAACCATTCTACCCAGTCACCATAAAACATTGCTTCACTCCGGGACTAGTGTAGACAAACCCTACCACATCTGAGAGGATTGAAGCCTCACTCACTGAGGCTTTTCAGAACTTTCTTAGATAGCCCAGACACAGAAATAATAGGCCAAACATCTGCAAGCGAGACCTGACTACGTGGTGTGGCCAGCACTTGGCAGGTTCATGAAGCCAGTCCACCTGATCTGGGCAGGTGACCACAACCAAAAACTTACAAGAAAGCAGTGTGTGGGTTTTCTGTGGGTCTCTATTCTTAAAGTCCAGCCCAACAAGTGGCTTTTCTTATTCAGAAAAGAGGTGGAAATCGAGTTCAAGGACAGGGAAAACAGTGTTAAAAGCTGTCTTGGATGAATAGTGTTGGAGTGTGTCTTAGGTCAAAGGGAGAATTTGTAAAGAAAGAGGAATAGCTGAACCTGGAAGAGAGTGGCTCAGCGTCCTCTGGATTCTAAGGAATCTCCTGGGACAAGAATGGCTGCCCACATGCTTTGCCTCATGATGCTGAGTGTTTCCTGAAGGAGAACAAAGCATCCCTGGGAGAAACTTTAGTACAGAGGTACCCTAAAAGATGTTCATCTAGACCTCTCTAGCATTCTTCTTTTCTGTGTTTATGCTCAGGTTTCTCCTTCTAAAATTGCAACCACTGTTTTACACTAGTAAAATTCAGCTCTTTGCACAGCCTGGATTCTTTGTTCTATAAATCAAGCGGATCTAACATAAGTCAAGCTGGGTAATGTTGTCCTGAAAGGTAATGACTTTTGTTCAGAGTTAGAACCTGGCAGAGGACAAGAAGCAAAATGTGACTAAAGATGCTATCCAGATCTATTAATTTATTCTTCTCCTCAAAGACACTTCTTTAATACATTCTATCTGGGTAATTTCTTAATAGACTAAACACCAAATATGTTTACCAGAAGCACTGGGTGGGGTGGGGAGAAAATGTTCCCTTATCAACCAAGAATAGTGAAGTAAAATAAAATACAGGCTGTACACACATCTTAAAAGGCAAAGCACCCTCTTAATAGGTGGCTGTTAATTTATGTGCTTTAATTTAAGTCTCAAAGTCAGACATCAGTTTCTAGACAACAGAAAATCTGTGCATCTTCCAATACCATCAATAGGCTCAAAGTTCAAAGCCCAAGGCCATTAGGAAGTCACAGTTACATTTATCAGCAAACAACACATGAAATCCTGATGGACTAGATTAGAAATATTACCAACTAGTTGCCACACCTGTCCCTCACCCAATTTCTTCAACCCAGTGAGACACAGAATGAGAAAGCAGCTAATCCCCACAGCAATTCTCTGTTTTTTTCTAATGGTATAAAGCATACTTTTAAATGAAAAGAAATAAAAACAAAAGAGAGAGAAAGGAAGGGAAGGGAAGGGAAGGGAAGGGAAGGGAAGGGAAGGGAAGGGAAGGGAAGGGAAGGAAGGAAGGAAGGAAGGAAGGAAGGAAGGAAGGAAGGAAGGAAGGAAGGAAGGAAGGAGGGTAGGGAAGGAGAGGAAAGGAGAAGGGAGAGGGAAGCCACTCATTTAGAAGAAATGTTAATTTTCTTATAATCTTTCTTTTAACTAGGTTATAACCAAAGGCATTTAGCTGCACCATGGTATAATAAGAATTAATGGAAAATGCATTACCTGTACAGTACAGGGAGTATAGTCAATAATATTGTAATAACTATGTGTGGTGTCAAGGGATACTAGACTTATTGGGGGATCACGTCATAAGTTATATAAATGTTACCCACTATGATATACACCTAAAATTAACATAATATTGAATGTAAACTATAATTGAAAATTTAAACAATAAAAATTAATTAATTAAAAATTCATTACCTTAATTGACAACTTAATAATAACTTAATAATCTGTACTAATAAAAGGGTAATATACTAATTAGACTGGTTGTCTTCTGGACATCCTTTGAGACAAAGCCACTGTGCCTGGGGCCAAGGCAGAGGTGGTTAGGGGCCATCAGGCCAGCAGGGAAGGGCAATTAGGGGCCATCAGGCTAGCAGGGGAGGGCAGTTGGGGTGAGCAGGTCAGCAGGGAAGGACAGTTGGGGGCAATCAGGCCAACAGGCAGAGGTGGTTGGGGCAATCAGGCAGGCAAGCAATTAGGAGCCAGCAGTCCCAGATTGTGAGAGGGATGTCTGGCTGCTGGTTTAGGCCCAATCCCTATGATCATGCTTAAACCAGCAATCAGACATTCCCCAAGGGGTCCCAGATTGGAGAACGGTAAAGGCTGGCCTGAGGAACCTCTCCACACCCTTGCACAAATTTCGTGCACCTGGCCTCTAGTCATCAAATAAGAATCAACATTTCTCTTAGTGACAATTTTTTGGTACAGTTTCTTGGAAAGGCCCTAGCCATAGATAATGTGATCCTGAGTAGTGGCAGAAGCCCAGACAACAAAGAACAAGAAAACTGTCCTGAGGGCAGTAAGGATAATACTTTGAAGGGTGGAGTGACTCAGAGAAGACAGGAGAGAAAAATTAAGCAGGGAAGCAGGAAATAGTGCCAGGCATGATGTTGGGTTAAATTAATAGAACTAGCACCCCACACCCTCATCCTTTTCCCCAAACACACACACTTCCACATTTGTGACACTATGGTGTGGAACAGAAACAGCACTTGTGCAACCCAAAAATTGGATACAGAGCTAAATATACGAACTAAACTTCCTCTAGACCTGTGGAAACCTTGGTAAGAGTTTTGCCACAGGTCAATACACAGTGTGTGTTGAGGGGGAAGGGACATGCGAATCCTATCTACATAGCAAGGAGCTGGAAATCCCCATCCAACTGTGGAGTTACACCAGTGTGCCCAGCCTCCATTGCCAATGGCCTCAGGTAATTATTAACCATCTTTGTACATTGCTGCCTTTAAGACGCAGATGCAAAATCTCCAAGAAGACTTCGTACTTTTTTTTCCCTTTGGGCCAACATCCTACCTTGGGATCAGCCAAATGATTGCAAATACCTTATACTACAAAAATTGTTCCTGGCGGAGAGGAAAGGTGATCCTTCTCTTCTGGCTACACTTCAGGCTGGCCTTAAGCACATGAAGGAAAAGACTAACTTCCACTCCGGTCCCTTCCCACCTCCACTTTCTTTGCTGTCTTCTTATTTTGGGAATAAATACCACCTTCATTCTCCAGAAGAACTGTGTCATGGGTCTCCAGAAGATCCATGCCCAACACAGCAAAGCACATAGTGAGTACTTTTGATTAATTAAATGTAATTATATTATAAAATCCCTTATCAATGTAAATAATTATATAATTCAGTTAAAGAAAATGCTATAGAAACACATATCATTACTTTCATCATTATAGGAAAAATGATCTACTTAGGGATAAGAAGAGCTTGTAGTTATTTACCTCTTTCTCAGGTTTGTTTACTCGTATCCATATTGCCAATCCCAGGATCAAGATACCACATAGCTGCAGGAAAAGAAAAAAGCATATATTAGAGTACAACTAAGATAAACTGCAACTCTTGCCGGGACCGGTTTGGCTCAGTGGATAGAGCGTTGGCCTGCGGACTGAAACGTCCTGGGTTCGATTCCGGGCAAGGGCATGTGCCTTGGTTGCAGGCACATCCCCGGTAGGGGGTGTGCAAGAGGCAGCTAATCGATGATTCTCTCTCATCGATGTTTCTAGCTCTCTATCCCTCTCTCTTACTCTCTGTGAAAAATCAATAAAATATATTAAATAAATAAATAAATAAATAAATAAATAAATAAATAAATAAGATAAACTGCAACTCTAATCCCACAAACCCCTAGCCATCTGGTTACAATGGTCTATCTGTTAATTATACCATTATACCCTACAAGACATAAATAGGGCATATTCCCATGCAGGTAACTGCTAAAGTGGTCCACTGTAATTGGTAAATTTGATAAGAATAATGTTTCACATGTACAGTCCAATCATAGGTCTAGGACAAAAAGATCATCTCTAATATGGGGCCAGGGAAAGATGATTTTCCATTTTTCAACTCTAACTCCGTGGTTTAGCTAGATTTTAATCTACAAAAGATAAGTCATAACAGTTTAAAGACAAAATATCCTTATTAGGCCCTAGATTGTCTCTGAAAAGCTGTCTTAGACAAAAAAAAAAAAAAAAAAAAAAAAAAAGAGAGAGAGAGAATAACTAATTACCAAACATTAGTCAAGATCCAAGAAATGAGCAATTAGATAGACAAAGAAAAGTAGAACATTTGACAAAATTTTCAGTTAAGCAACAAACATTCATAGCACTTTCTGTACCCAAATAAACTCTTTTTAAAATAAGCTTTTAGGTAGTAAAGATTACTCGGAGAAGAGCAACAATGAGGAACAGTACTTAGAGTCTTAAATTCCTTTAATGACTTTACCAGATTATTTAATTTGGACCAAGGCCAACACATAAAATGTGAAACACATTTTACTTTCATGTAAGGAAAACCCTTGTCTTTTAGGTCTCTGTTTTGTTTTGTTTTAAGATATATGTTGTGGTGTCAAAAAAAAAATCAAAGATCTATTATTAGATAGAGATGTTGAGAACAAACGAGGTAACATATCAAATACAGCAGGCCTTGGAGGACTTTCTAGACTATTCTGGCCTTATGGTGTTCTGACACAGACCTGACTGAGTCCTCTGAAACCCAGTGGCCCTGCAGTATCATGGTTTTCATGCACAGTTGGACCACATGCCTGGAATCCCAAAGCAACAGTTTCATTTCTAATGACTTCTCATAAAGTTTGCTATGGAAGTAGAGTCCATGGTTTTAGGGAGTGCCATGAGTAGCTGAATAACCTGAGAATCTGTGTTCCCTAAAAGAACTCAGAAATCATCTAGGTTCAAATTCTTCTTTTCAGGTAAAGAAACTAGAACCCTTAGCAGGTCATCGTCATATCATGAAAATCCGGCACTACTGATCCAATCCTGCCTCTACTGCATGCTTCTACTCCTACAGGATAAGGAATGCAATGGAAAACGAAAGCACTTTATCAAATCACCACATCAGCTGTACAATTTAATTATCTCATAGGCACACACTATAAAATACAAACCATTTTGGGGGGGGGGGGGGGGAACAGCTTTGGAGCCTGAGTTCTTCTCCCTGTTACAACTAGTTCTAATTTCATTTGCAGATGAAGATGAAATACGCATGTTAGCGGTTCTTTGTTAATAAGTAAGTCTGTAAAAATTTATGTCAAATTATAATGAGACTCCGTGGGATTGTCTGTAATTTTATAGCAGTTGGATTTTTTGTTATTTTCTTTGTTCACTGATATTTTCTTTCTTTTTCTTCTTCATAAGAAGATTTACATTGATTATCTTAATATTTGCTCTGGCTTTTAGATTTAATTGAATATAGTATTAATTATCTAAATAGATATGGTTATCATCCTTATCTGATATTTATTGATGTCACTATCAAGAAAACTTTAAGAATTCTAAGAGACTAAGAGTACAAGATTGTTTAAACCTTTACTTTATTTTTTGTTTCTATGTGACCTTTAAGTTCACTTTCTCAATGTAGACATCAAATTATTCCAAAATCTTTTTAAATCAATCATATTTCCCCCTCAAATGGTAACTGTTAGACTTCTCAACCACTGGAAATTATATGTTACATTAACATTTAAAGAAAGGATATGAGCCCAAACCGGTTTGGCTCAGTGGATAGAGCATCAGCCTGGGGACTGAAAGGACCCAGGTTTGATTCCAGTCAAGGGCATGTACCTTGGTTGCGAGCATATCCCCAGTGGGGGATGTGCAGGAGGCAGCTGATCGATGTTTTTCTCTCATTGATGTTTCTAGCTCTCTGTCTCTCTTCCTCTCTTTAAACAAAAAACAAAAAACAAACAAACAAACAAAAACGAAAAAGAAAAAGAAAGAAAGGATCTGAAAACAATGAGATGCCATTACACACCTATTCGAATGGCCAAAATCAGAACACTGATAATCCCAAAAGCCGATAAGAATGTGGAGCAGCAGGAATTCTCATTCATTGCTGATGAGAAGCAAAACGGTACAGCTATCTTGGAAGACAATTTGGCAGTTTCTCACAAACTACTTATACTCTTACCATGTGATCCAGCAAAATGGAAAGCAACAACCAGGACACAAACAAATGGTTTATAACAAGCCCATTCGTCTTCATATATAATGTGTCCTCCAATTATCCTTACTCACTCTCAGTTCTCTTTTTATTTAGGTGATTATCAAAGTGTTTTTGAAGAATGGAAGAAATACATAGTGCTATGCTAAAAGAAAGAGTATATTATGAGCTATGTCATTATTGGTCCAAAATAGACACTTTTAAGGTGAACTTACAGGAAACCTTATGCTGCTCCTGAGAGGTTCAAATGAATAAGAAAATATCCAAATAGATAATGTGGATAACTACAAGGTTTGTTTTTACAATAACCCCAGAACGCAAGAGATCATGAGCACAGTCCTAACATTTTGGGACAGTACTACCATTGTTAATTATCAAGCTTCCTCTCTTGATAACCATTACTCAAAAGTCTAGTTTAATTGCATTGTAATAAGATAATATGGCCTGTGAAATTATTGCTCATGAGAATTTTTATAATTTGATCCTTGTTCTGTCCTCTGTTCTCTCGATCTCTCATCTCCTTTTACATCATTTATCTCTTTTTGATTCTCCTCTGGAGAGCTTCTCAATTTGGGATTCTATTTTACTATCTCCACGTAATGTGATTTCTGGAGTGGATTTTAATTCTATCATTGTATTTCTGGTTTACTTAAAGTACTTCTTTATTTTATCTATTTCCCTTGTCATTTCATCCTATGGTTTTCCTGTTAACTTCTCTTATAACCTCCAGCCACCATTTCATGGGGAGTTATTTCTTGCATTGCCTGTGGATACCAATTTCCTGATATTTTTTCAGGATGCTGGAGTGTTTTTTCCAGGGATGTGTACTTGTCCTCTAAGGCTTCAGAGTGACACTCCCTTTCACTGGTTCAATGGGGTTTTTTATCAGCACTTATGTTGGTTTTCCCTTATTCACTATTTTTTTATTTAAAAAAAATTTTTTTTATTGATTTCAGAGAGGAAGGGAGAGTGAGAGAGACAGAAACATCAGTGATGAGAGAGAATCATTGATTGGCTGCCTCCTGCAGGCCCGCCACTGGGGATTGAGCCCACACCCTCTGGCATGTACCCTGATCAGGAATCAAACCATGACCTCTTGGTTCATAGGTGGACACTCAACCACTGAGCCATGTCAGCCAGCCCTTATTCATTCTTTATTGAAACTGTTCTAATTTCTTATTAATTTGCTTCACTCACTAACAACAGGGGATATATTAATTCTCAGATCTCCTGTTGGAGGGAGGTTGCTGTGCATTTTCTCTGCAGGCATGGCCTAATGCCCCTGTGACTTACCAAGTCGGTCCCCAGCCTTCAGATAATATTGGATTTTCTAGTGCTCTAAACCAAGGGAGTAAATTAAAACCTTTAATTCTTAGCAGGCTCTGCTACTATGAGTGATATTTTGGGTTTTCTAACTTCCCTGTGAATGATACTATATTAATATGTATTAAATACACAGTGGTATGTCCCTGTGGTTGCATTCATGTGCATTTTCTAAACTTCTGAAGCCAAAAACCCCATATAACTACTGCAAATTCTAATTTTAAATATCTCTAAATTTAAGGGAAAGAAATCAACCACATCTCCTTCTGACACAAATAGGTCCTGGGTAAGCATACTTCAGGTTATCTTTCCTGATGCATAAAATCACTAAAATTCACATAACTTCAAAATATATAAAGCGAGTTGAATGTTCAGCATTTGATTGGTATCCTAATGTTTCTGAATGATGAAATGATGCACATTCAGAAATTTTTTAAGCACTTTGTTTCAAAGTAGATACATTTGCAGGGCCTGGGACAAGAATACAAATAACAGACCACAGGTCTCCTTATTGAGAGGTTATAACTCAAGTGATAAATATATACAAAACGTGTTCCATCTTCCTGATGTTGCAAATGTACCCACTTAATGACCTGAACGACAAGGTTTGATTTAGAATTTTCAGAGTTCACTCGCAGAAGGAGGTGGCCCAGGCCCCCTCCCTCACTTCCGGCTCTGTCTTAAATTCTGAGGGGTAGAACTGGATGGGTATGATATCTCAGCCTGCAAGCCAGATCTGTAACAATCTGTCCTCATTCCTGGCAAATAGCTCCCTGCTGACCACCCAGGGCCATTTGGGGAGGGAAAGTGAAGCCATTGGCCCTGGGTACTCAAAGCAGAGGTCAAATGTAGGGTGAGCATATTCCTCTAGCTATAAAAGTACACAGATTTCTGGCACTATGGGACTAGAGGAGGGTCAGAGGAGAGCTAAATTTATATTTAAAGACCATCCTGTATAAAATACTATCACACCAGATTCCAATACTTTTAAATTAAAAAGCAGTAT